GGGGGGGTGCAGTTGCCAACCATTCAGAGAATCCTAAGTGCTGAAAGTGTTTCCAGTTTGGACAAGGTCTTGAAAACACCTCCCAGAACAGCCCCCTGGTTGCAACACCTACAGTGCCTACAGCGCAAAGTCTTGCCAACTTTTAAGCTGTCGATCGGTGAAAGGCATGTCGGATGTCCTCGTATTCTTCCCGAATGTGTTGAGGCACTTGCGGCCACAAGCCTTTCGGGAAAGGATATGAATAAAAGCACTTACGCTGGCCGCTGTCGGCAGTCTGCCAAAACTAGCTGCATCTCAAAACAAGCTGACCACAGCGATTGCCAGAGCGTATCAGATGAGGTTGCAAAGAACAATGGGCATGGTGTGGGCAACCACCCCACTTAAATGATTTCTGACGCTCCGAGAAGAAAGGCACTGACGCATTCAAAATTTGTTGCTTCTCTGATTCCTGGGTTTCCCTCATCGGTTTTCAATGTATGCTCAATGGAAGACCTCGGTCTTGGGTTTCCCTCACCGGTTTTCAATGTATGCTCAGTGTAAGACCGACCAACCTAAAGCGTTTGGCGACGACGTGTTCGGACAGTGCTCAAATGTCAAGTGTACAAGCGACCATAATTTCAAGTGCACAAGCGGCCCAAATTTCAAGTGTACAAGCGACAGCTCGCCCATCTAAACCTGCGAATTGTTCGGGAAAATCGACAGTGGAGGTTCCTTGCCGGCCGGGCCAACTATTCAAAGATTGCCCTCTCATCAGCAACACCAACACAGTCGCGCCCTCAGTCTTCGTGAAAGCGGGACCTCTGTGAGCTCCTCGACCGTGGCAAGATCTGCCTGACCGATTGAGGCGAAAAGCAGAATGTTTGACCTCGATTGTGCAGCGTCCGAAACCCAGAAGATACAGTCACCCAAAGGACGATGAGGATGAGGACAAGGCCAAGTTACAACTTTGGCACAACCACTGGTGATCGGAGTCTCAGGTGGTCTCATCCTGGTCCCCTCAACAGAAAGTCCATGTCATGCATGCAACAACTTTGTGAAGTACAGGTCTTCCAGCAACCGAGCTAAGTTGGATCACAGTGACAGGTATTTTGATGCGAAACCTAACCTACATTAGGCTGTATGTCAATGTGGTTGACCGGTGACTCAGCAACTTCCATTCTGCAAACCTGCAGGTCTTCCAGAACGTCTTCTTCCTTCAAGATCTCCTGCACAAAACAAATCAGGTCCATCTCAGCACATTTTGCTGGAGCCTTGGTTTCGGTCGACGTCTGATTCGGTAACCAAACGGTCTGATTCGGTAACTATGATTCGATAACCAAAACCAGGAAACCAAAACCAAAAACATTTCCAAAAGAAGACACTGATGACCCGGGTAGTAGTATAGTAGTAGTAGTAGTAGTAGTAGTAGTAGTAG